GTCTGAGGGTGCTGGTTCCCCGTCGGTTTGCCTACGGCACCTATCGGCTGAAGTACTAAACTGCAAACCCCGTAACGGTGAGAAATGTGCGGCTCCTTCCTTTTTTAATCCTTAGCTTTCGATATTTTTGAACTGTCTTAAAATTTTTGCTGTTTCAGGCACTGGACGTATAAGTGAGAGGATGAAGTTCCAAAAGACAGGAGTACAGGATCAACTAATGGAACTGCCGCTTCCGACAAAAACGCCAATAACGACAGGAACGAAACTATGCGGTAAGGTGCAGCAGGTCGTGTTCAATATGACGGAGGCGTTTGGGGAATGGAAGTGCAGGTTGGATCCACTGGGGTCCTGACCACTTACATCTGCTCCTTCTGATGCTGCCTTTGCCGGTTTGTTTGCGTGCGCAGTGAGCAGTATATTAGCGTAGTCCAGCTCAAAAGTAGCTCCCGAAGTCCACAGATAGGTTCTGCCGCTTCGTAAGTCCCCCAGCAGGACAGCCACGAAGAGAGATGTATGGGAAACGTACGCAACTGAATTCCACTCCCATATTCACCGCGGAGTTCGGAGTCTCATCAATGAGCTCCATCAGGCCAGTAAGCCGGTAGTCGTATATCTATATTTGTCTTTTTGGCTGCTAAACTTTGTTTTCATCAATGCTCAATTGATTTGCTCTCAGTGCTCAATTTTGCTTCCCAAAACACTTCATATTTTTTTGTAAGTAATGAATTTTTGGAAAATCTATAGAGGAATACTATAAACACAGTTCTACTAAAATTATCAAAATTACTTATCAAATAATTAAATTCTTAGCGGTAAAAAGTGCCATTTACAGCAAAAAAGTCTACTTCTCCTTCCAACTGGTCTAATACAAAACCCAGATGGGTCCTGAGCCTAGTAAAACTTTCCAAGAAACATAAGGGCATAACGAAAGATCCTGGAAAAAGAAAAAAAAAGGTGCAGTTTCCGCGCAATACAAAGTTATTTCCGAAATTAAAGTAATACAGGTGGTAAAAGACAAAATTAGCTATAACTTCAAATCTCAGCAAATATCTCAACAGTGGCTTCAAGAATAATTGAACCTTAGCAATCGTTTCGTAGTCGTGAATGTACCGAACAGAAATGTGTCAAAATCCCCGCAAAACTCCTGATATTAGACAGATAAATACGCCTTAATCTGAACGCAAGCCGGCATTTTTATGGGTCACTGGGCTCGCCGCACTACCGTAATCCGGGTCCTGCCGCAAAAATTCTTGGCCGTACAATTAGAAATGAACGCAAGTATACGCGTTTTCGTCTCCCGTATTCTGAATACACCATCGAAATGCATCTTCAATTCTTCATACAGATACGACACTTTTTTGTTCTACTAATTTCATCACAGAATTTGCATTAAGAAAGTAACCGACTCTCCTTTAGGCTTTGTTTTCCTCATCACCCAGATCTAATCTTCATTAATGAACGTTTCATTGGTTTTAATTAAGACGGATCAACCCCCGAAAAATGAATGTAACTGGCCAAAGCATTACTAAAACACTCATCCAGTCTTTTGGTGACCTCATATAACTGCAAAAGTGCCTATAAAGACTTTGGATCAATGCCGTCCTCCGAAGCATTAAAGTTTGCCTTCTTTGCCACAACTACTTTGCAAATCTTGGTCTGGAAAACCAGCGATAAAGTTATAATATAATAAAACTTGAAAGAGTTCTCATTAGCCAGAACGACTAACTAATTTTCTTCATTTTATTAGTCTAGTCTTAGATGTTTCAAGGACCAGTATTAGACTCCAGAAAAAATTACAGTGAAAATGTTGCGACGAAACTTGAAAACAAAAGAGATTATCGCGAGAAAATTGAGAAGAAATCTGTCCTAACAGTAATAAATGAAAAAAAAAGCGGAAGCTGAAAACTCATAAACTTTCCTCGATTATCGAGTAAAAGAACTATAAAAGTGACCGAACGATTACAAAAGACAGATCTACTAGCAAAAAGAAAAGAAAAAAGAAGAAAAGCTTCAGAACGAAAAGAACGGACTATTTATGAACTGGCAAAAACCAAAATAAGTTGCAAAGGCGGCAATCCGAATAATACGAGATAACGGCAACTTAGTGTGCCAAGAAGAAATCCGGTTTTAGGACACCAATTAAAGATGAG